CTCAGATGGGCCACATATCGGTTAAAGCGGACGTAGCTCTGGTGGGAGGTCAGATCTGTTAAAGGGGACGTAGCTCTGGTGGGATGTGAGATGGGTTAAAGGGGACGTAGCTTTACGTAGCTCTGGTGGGATGTGAGATCGGTTAAAGCGGACGTAGCTTTACGTAGCTCTGGTGGGAGGGCAGATAGGTTAAAGCGGACGTAGCTCTGGTGGGAGGTCATATCTGTTCTAGGGGACGTAGCTCTGGTAGGATCTCAGATGGGCCACATATCTGTTCTAGGGTACGTAGCTCTGGTAGGATCTCAGACGCCCCGTCGGCCTGCAGCTGCTCCTCCAGCTGTCGGGGAAACGGGAGCAGTAATGCGGAGGTGACACCAAAGCAGATCAACGGTTTGAAACCAGGCGCCTCTGTAGATTCCTGTAAGGGGGTAGAGTTTTTTTCCCAATCGGATCAGAAAGGCACGCGTGTTGTCAGCAGATGGATTAACTGAACAGTTTGGATCTGGGTCTGGGATTGTTGGATTAACTGAACAGTTTGGGTCTGGGTCTGGGATTGTTGGATTAACTGAACAGTTTGGGTCTGGGTCTGGGATTCCTGTCCTGTGGGCCCTAACGCGGTGGCGGTGGTGGCGTCCCAAACAAGGACGTCCACTTCCGCTGCACCAACTGTTGCACACGATTCATGAGGTCTGTGTTTCATTTGTTTCTGAGCCCGTAAACGTGTGGAGAGACCAGAGTAACCTCTAAGAGCTCCGCTGTAACTGTTTTCTGGTCAGTGAGAGAGCGGCCCGTCGAGCCTCACGGTAAATCCGCTCCACTCACTCCAGTCTGATGATGTTACTTTTTAGGAGCCCTTTACAGCATAACCACTGATTAACGTTTGATAGCCCTGGCTTGACTGGTTGCTTGTCAAACTCAGACTCTTAATGTCTGAGTCTAGATATTGTTTTCATCTCAGAGTTTCCAGGTTTTATGGGCTAACCCTAAGCCCCACACTCAAAGGGTCAAGCTAGGTCAGGAGCACTGATGGCCTAACACTTGCTTTTTAGGGATGAAATCCTCCCTCAGAAATCTCTTAAGCCCCTGGTTGTTGCTTTCGAAACAGATTATACTGATAACATTACAGTTATTATGAAAGATTATTGATATTAAGAAATACTCAAGGTGATCGTTCTTTTTCATCTATAAATCATCAGGACATTCACCTGTTCTCCACCTCCTCCTGCAGGAGCACAGGTGGATTAAACAAAGGTGGTTGCTTGTGTGGCAAAATGATGAAAATGACTAAATTGTTGCCTAAGGTTACACACACAGATTTAGCTTCAGTCTCCCTCCAGTTTTAGCCACTTACCACTTGACATTTATGCCGTGTCGTAAAACACTGTCATTAAATGAGCAGCACAGTTCTTAAAAGCCCAGCACCAGCACGCTCGCCACTCCACCGCAGCTTTTTTGTCGAAGAAATCACTTTTTCCAGCCATTACGCACTCCCGAGAGTGCTGGTGCCGTTAAGTTAGGAGAGGATTAAGATAGAGAAAGAGAGAACGCATTCTTTTGGACGTTTGCCAGAGGCATCACCCTCTGGAGACTCGGCGGCTGGTCCCAAATCCTAGTATTTATGGCACGATTCCACTTAAATGGACTGTGCCCCGTCTCTCTGTCATTTTTCAATGCAAGTCAGCTAATTGTGCGATCTCGAAAGTGTCTGCCCCAAAGCCTACTGTTGCAGTCTGTTCCCTAAAATAAGCACTGAGGTTTTACACATAAACATTATTATCTGCCAGCAAAGAGCAGCAAATGTGGAATAATTCTGGCCTTTGTGTTTTCTCTGTTCTGCTCCATGTGTGAAATGGGGTTGAGACGTAGTCAGACAAACAACATTAGATAGGCTTCTCTCAGTTTAACTTTGATAATTGCTTGTTTAGATCCTTGTTCAAGAGACGTCCTGCACTAAAGAACCAAGTATTTCAAGAAAAATAGGCCAGTTCCAGGTCTATGTGCTGCCACAGAAGCCCTTTTCTTTTTGAACTGCGTTTAAAAAGAGCACAAAGACCACCGACAGACGCAAACCGCTCAAGTTACCAGAGCGCCAAGATTTGAATCCTTCATGATGCACATGATAAATACACACCTTGTAGTCTTTAGAGAAACATCCTGTCCAGATTCAAATCTTCCATTAAAAGTTTTGGGAGGTGGGACGTCTTATTGAATTGGCCATTATCTGAAATAGTGTCGGAGCTCGTCTTGAACTGACTTTCAGTTGAGTCTCATTCCGTTCAGAAACCAAGGAGGCGGCTCTCGTTTTGTAGCGCTTCCCCACAACTAAAGCTGCTACTGGCAGACGAGAGGCTAAGTAAGTGAGAGCAGCTCTAAATGAGGACAATATGACATCAGCCAAACCCAGTGCTCCCAGTGGAAGGATGTTGGAGGACTGTCAGTCGAACAAGCTTCCTGTTTTTTGTGATGTCTTAGGCATCCAGATCTTCCTCATTGATTTACAGTATCTGCTCAGGTCTAGCGCCTGTTTCCGATCCCTTTGATTATTAACTAAAACATAAAGGAAATTTTAATCAAAAGCTTCTTATTTAGCCTTTTTTGATCTGTGTTTTTCTGTCTTCAGGCCTTCCTCATCCTTTCGCCATCACGGTGTTTGAAGACAGCCTCTACTGGACTGACTGGCACACAAAGAGCATCAACAGTGCCAATAAGTTCACCGGCAAGAATCAGGAGATTATCCGCAACAAGCTGCACTTCCCCATGGACATCCACACCTTGCACCCCCAGAGGCAGCCCGAAGGTGCGTGCGCCGCTGGGCCGGATACAAAAGCTGAGGCTGGCCGAGGCTAAATACCTCTGAAATGTCCCATTTCTAATGTTGAACCTTTAAACCATAAATCAGCCGACACCAGTTAGAGGCTGGGTGAGGTGAGGTGAGCAGATATTTCTGCCCACTAATGTTTGTTTAGGTCCGGGGAAATCACACAACAGTGGCTTGAATTAGGGTTAGCCTTAAAATATAGAAACAGAGATGAGAATGCAGTAATTTGAAACAACGCTGATCAGAACGCAGCTTTTAAAATGGTTTATGTGGCATAGCAAGCTTTCACCTTCAGTTTTGGCTGTTTTGGACTTATGTGTTACCACTCGCTGCCATTTTCCGACCCTGATATGCTTAGATGACAGAAATGTGTGTAAAACACTCCTCATCTTTTCTTCAGCAAAGTCATCATCTAAAATAGCTTTGGAGTCTGTCGGTGAAAGCGAGCTTTCTGACTGGGTGTCAGTGCAGTTGGAGGGTCTGTGATTTCTCCCACTCTTTTCCTGCTTTGTTGCCAACACGATGCCTGCAGAATTTCACACCAACCGCATCCTCAAATGACATGTGAGCCTCTCCCATGAGCAAATGACAGAGCAGGCATCGGCCTGTTCGAATCTTCCTATCTGCGCTGTCCTCTGGGTTTTCTGGTGGAAAACCATAAATAGACGAGTTCTTTCTTGTGTTCTGAAGTGCTTCGTTGTAGCTAGCTGTACGTGATCTTTGTGCTGTGTTTGAAGGCTGTTTGTTTTCCCAGATGCTCAACGGCACGAGGGGATCCGGCCTGGGGCTTTTGGGTGGTTGACATCATTTTTATGTTTCGGCTCTTGAAGGAATTCTTACTTTCAAAGAGCTCCGAGTTCAAAATGTGAAGCTAAAAATGTGATCGTCTTGCAGCAGGCAGGAGAATAAAATGCTAGCAGGCACGTTTCAGCATTACACGGTTGTTAATGACGTTGAGGAGAGGGGAGCACTCTGGTGGCTAAATCCACAGCTCAAATGATTTGTTGCAGCAGAGCGTGGCCTGTGGTGAACTGGAAGAGCTTCCACCAGCATGACAGAGAGACTTGTGTTCTTTGATAACAAACTATGTTGAATCTGTCGTCCGGCCAAGAGAAAGTTTTAGTTTTCACACTGACAGAAATACGCTAGGAGCCTGACAGTAATATGAACTGCCTCTGTGCTGGGGCTTTGTTTTAGCAGAGTAGCAGTCGAGTGGGTTCATGTCCGAGAGGGACCCTCCAGAGCTGTAGAGAAATCCAGAGGAAGAAAAGAGTAGACTCGCTGCGCTCAAACTGAGTTGAGTTTTTGTTTTTCCTCCAGGGGGCAGGAACCGCTGCGGTAACGATAACGGAGGCTGCAGCCACTTGTGTCTGCCGAGCAACAAAAGCTACACCTGCGTGTGTCCCACCGGCTTCAGCAAAACTGACCCGCACAACTGCGCCAGCAGTGAGTTCCTTTCCAGTAGCATTTTCATACATTATTGAAATTCTATATCCAGTTAAAGCCAGTTCACTAATTGTTAAATTACTGTAGGAGCATTGATAACTGCAGGATAGTTCACAGCCCGAATAGCTCAGATTCTTGAATGAATTCAGGGGTGACATGGATATCCGTCTTCGGTCTCCTGACTCCTCTGCCTCGTTTCAAAATTTTTATTTATTAAACGGTCCATGTTCAAAGCTAAATTGGGAAAAAGTTAATCCGGTAACGCAATTAGTGGTATCAGCCTGGCAGCTGAGGTGGAAACAGTCAAAGCTGAGTTTCAGGGAACAGATGAGCACGCAGAGGATTAGAGGCTATCTGCTAGATGTGAAGTGTAATTAATGGCAATTCAAAAACATTTTACAGTTCATGTGGCTTATTAAATGTTACCTAAAATGGAGTGTACTGTAAATAAGTCTTGAATTAAAGCCTCTCTGAGTTAACACATGATTACATAGCGTGAAATGGAATTATCTAAAACTTGTGTTTAGTGTTACATACATGAGCTAGTTGGATTGGGCTTTTCTATGTAAATGTGGTTAGATGTCTTTGTGGTAGTACTGTTTTGCTGTGTTTACATTTGACCCCACTGTTAAACCTAGAAGACTGACAGAAGACCTTTGGTCTTTAATCAGGTCTTGACAAGTTCCTGCTTTTTGCCCGAAGGACGGACATCCGACGAATCAGCTTTGACACTGAAGACATGTCCGATGATGTCATTCCTCTGGCTGATGTGCGCAATGCCGTGGCGCTGGACTGGGACGCCAGCGACGGCTTCATCTACTGGACGGACGTCACCACAGACTCCATCAACAGAGCACTGTGGAATGGCACCAAGCAGGAGGTCAGTGACTCACAGTCTGCCTAAAGTCCCATCAGCCTCTTCTCAAAAGAGCAAAAAAGCACCAACAGGCAAACAGTCGCTCTCAGGTTTAGGAAATATTGCCATCTGCTGGAGCTAAATTCACACGCAGCCTCAAATTCCTACTCTGAGGAAGGCGATGCTGCAAAGGCTTGATAGGGTTTAAGAGTTGTCTTGTGCCTACCAGGGCCTGGGGGCATTCAGACCTTTGTAACCTGTGTTTATTTATATCTATTTCTTTAGGTGGTGGTGGACACCAGTTTGGAGAGCCCTGCAGGTTTAGCAATTGACTGGGTGACCAACAAACTGTACTGGACTGATGCAGGTAAACAGCTTCTGTTTATCCTAAAATTATTTTAGTTTTTTATGCATTAAAGCAAGGCAAATTGTGCCCTGAGATTATATCCAGCCATGCTTTTGCTGTCAGGTACGGATCGTATCGAGGTTTCCAACGCGGACGGCAGCATGCGGACTGTCCTGATATGGGAGAACCTGGACCGGCCCAGGGACATAGTGGTTGACCCCATCGGAGGGTAGGATGGTTGTAAAGTGTCCATAAACAGACATTTCCAGCTGGACACCATATTGACCGTTCTTTTCTCTCCCTGTGCTTGTAGCTTCATGTACTGGACCGACTGGGGAGCAAACCCAAAGATTGAACGTGCTGGAATGGACGCCTCCAGTCGGGTCGTCATCATTTCCTCCAATCTGACGTGGCCTAATGGCCTTGCCATCGACTACGAGACCAAACGTCTGTACTGGGCTGATGCGGGCATGAAAACAATAGAATTTGGGAACTTTGATGGCTCTGACCGACAGGTAGAAGGCATTCTTTGATGCATAAATAGAGTTTTTATCTGCAGTAATGATTGGATTGAATAGAATGGAATATTGAACGTTTTTGGATGGTTTTGCTCTCAGGTTTTGATCGGCAGCCAGCTGCCTCACCCTTTTGGCCTGACCGTACATGAGGACAAGTTGTACTGGACAGACTGGCAGTCTAAGAGCATCCAGAGTGCTGACAAGCTGACTGGATTGGGACGGGAGACGCTGGCAGAAAACTTGGAGAACCTGATGGATATTCATATGTTCCACAGACACCGTGAGACAGGTCTGTATACATTAGATGCGATTAGAGTCAACTTTAGCATCCAAACCTGTATTAATACAAATCAGCAAAATGCAGTTCAACATCTCATCAGAAGTGCAAAGAGCAGTATGTTTTCAACAGTAGGTTAAACTTTTAAAGTGGAATTTATGCTGAGAGGAAATTTCTCTGTAAAAAAAAAAGTTTTTCTCAGCAGCCCTTTTTATTCTATTAAGATTTCACACATTTTAATAGAAACTAATTTTATTGCCAGTTTATTGGGTGCATAAAGCTTTGAGCTTTTATGTCTGTCTGCCTCTCTGGGATTTTTGTGAAAGGAACCAAAACTCTTAAAGCAGAAGAGGGATTGTCAGCTGACAGGTGTCCTGGTTAGCACAGTGGTGAGACCGCGGTTCGACTCCCCGATGGGGAGATATGTATTTGTGTCTGTTTTGTAAGTCGCTTTGGATAAAAGCGTCTGCTAAATGCATAAACATGAACAGGGCTCGCTTGTGTTCTCAGAGGCATCCCACGACTTTGTGGGTTGGCTTTGCCCCAGTTGCTCCCATTCTTTCTCCTCTCAACTTACATTAAAAGTAGGTTGATGGGTGATCCAAGGGTGTTTTTGTATCTATTTATAGTGCGTAACCCATGTGCAGTGAATAATGGAGGCTGTAGCCACCTCTGCCTCCTGGCGCCTGCCCCCAAAGCCTCCAGCTGTGCCTGTCCCACTGGGATCAACCTGCAGACAGATGGAAAGACCTGCACCCCTGGTATGGAAGCATGAAAATGAGAGCCATCACACAGCGGCCTTTGTATAGAAGATGCATTTCCTAAAAGTGTTTGGTATCGTGTTTCAAAAGGCCCTCTGATATCCAGCTATATGAAAGTATTCCGGCCTCCTTTGTGCTGAGATGTGCGTTGATGTGTGCGCAGGCATGAGCAGCTTCCTTATCTTCGCTCGGAGAACGGACATCAGGATGGTTTCGTTGGATATTCCCTACTTTGCTGATGTGGTCCTGGCTGTGAATAGCTCCATGAAAAACACCATCGCCATCGGGGTTGACCCCAAAGAGGGTTTGTTTGTCTTTTCTTATTTATAGAAACTTCTTACAAGGTACGACGCGACGCAGAAATTGACCTTTTTTTTTCATTTGGATCTGGCACAGGGAAAGTGTATTGGTCTGACAGTACACTGAAGAAAGTCAGCAGAGCTAACATTGATGGAACAGCACATGAAGAGATCATATCTACAGGTGGGAGGACAGAAATACTTACAGCCTTTTCTGTGAATCCACCGGACACGAGGCATGACTCCAGCTCTGATTTTTTTCCAATAGGGTTGATGACAACTGATGGGCTTGCAGTGGATGCTGTCGGTAGGAAGATCTACTGGACAGACACAGGAACCAACCGCATTGAAGTGGCCAACCTGGACGGCTCCATGAGGAAAGTTCTCGTCTGGGAAAACCTGGACAGCCCGCGGGCGATCGCCCTCTACCACGAGATGGGGTGAGGCTGCCGAGCTGCTGCCTTTTCTCTTGGTGAAGATTTCTATGGTGAGTTGGCCTTAAGTTTTGGATTTTTGGGTGTCCTTTTCCAGTTACATGTACTGGAGCGACTGGGGGGAGCATGCTAAGCTGGAGCGCTCAGCGATGGACGGCTCCGACCGCGCGGTGCTGATCAGCAGCAACCTGGGCTGGCCCAACGGCCTGGCCATCGACGCGGCCGGGTCCCAGCTGCTGTGGGCGGACGCTCACACTGAGGTCAGTGTCCACCTCACGCTGACTTATCAGTCCTCCATTTTAATGGAACAGCGAGTCCTTCCACTGAAAAGCAGACAGTGGACCCGTGCAGGGAGTATTAATAAAACATATTCAGAGAAATCATTTTCACTAGTTTGTCACAAATCGATCGCAGTCGAATCACACCTGACAATGAGGTGAATGTGACCTACAAAGTGTGATAATCAATTCAGACTAACAGTCCAGGTCTGTGAGAATGTACTGGTAAAAGATACAATATAAACTAAGAATAATAAAGAAATAAAAAGCGGTGAAACTCATCGGACGCTGTGCTACACCTGGGTTCCCCGCAGCGTATCGAGGCGTCTGACCTGAACGGACAGAACCGCCGCACCCTTGTGACCCCGGTCCAACACCCCTACGGCCTAACTCTGCTGGGCTCCAGCATTTACTGGACCGACTGGCAGAGCCGCAGCATCCAGCGCGCTGACAAGAACACCGGGGACAACGCCATCACGGTGCGGGCCAACCTGCCGGGCCTGATGGACATCCAGGCCGTGGACAGGGAGAGACCACTGGGTGAGTGTGCATGTAGGCTGTTACTGTGCCTCTATTTTCATCTGAGAAATTATGGACATCCAGGCCGTGGACAGAGAGAGACCTCTGGGTGAGTGTGCATGTAGGCTGTTACTGTAGCTCTATTTTCAACTGAGAAATGATGGCCAAACGAATCTGAGGACCTGTTTATCCCAGAGGTGCACCGTGTCATTGTGTCTTCCTGTCCGCTGCCTCTAGGGTTTAATAAGTGTGGCAGGAGGAACGGGGGGTGCACCCACCTGTGCCTGCCACGCCCCAACGGCACGTCCTGCGCCTGTCCCACCGGCATCCTGCTCAAAGGGGACGGCAGGTCCTGCGACGACTCCCCGGAGACTTACCTGGTCTTCTCCAACCGAGTCAGTGTGCGCCGGATCTCCCTCGACACCAGCGACCACACCGACGTGCACGTGCCCGTGCCGGAGCTGCACAACGTCATTTCCATGGATTATGACAGTGTGGAGGGAAAACTGTACTACACCGATGTCACTCTGGATGTCATCAGGTGAAGCCTGAGGGAAACACTTCCGCTAAGTTACACTTTAAAGGAATCCTGGGAAAACCGACTAGTGTTAGCCGCTTTGGATAAATACCAGTACACAGTGGAGCTGAAAACATCACATACATTTCATCCTAATTAACCACAATAATGTCCAAAGATGTAACCATATCACCTCCACTGTTTATACTCAGACGTTCAAATCTAGATGGGAGTGGCATGGAAACGGTCATCAGCCAGGGCCTGAAAACCACTGACGGGCTGGCCGTGGACTGGGTGTCCAGAAACATGTACTGGACAGACACTGGCCGCAACAGCATTGAGGTGGCCCGCCTGGATGGAAGCAGTCGCAAAGTCCTGATCAATAACAGTTTGGATGAACCCCGAGCCATTGCAGTGTTCCCTAGCAAAGGGTAAGAGAGGGGAGTAAACAGGTGGAGCTTTTATGGGTGGCAATGTGTCTTGAATGGGATGAAATTGGGCAGCTGCAGTTAAATGTTCGTGTTCCTCTTGTTTAAGTCGGTGTGAAATTTTGTTTCTCTGCAGGTTTCTCTTCTGGACTGATTGGGGGACCGATGCCAAAATAGAACGGTCCCATCTGGATGGCTCTGACCGAAAGATTTTGATCAAAACCGACCTGGGATGGCCCAACGGTCTCACACTGGATTACGACACGAGAAGGTCAGAGGAAGGCCTTTAAAGTGTAGCTTGATAAGACCTGGATTTGTTATTTGATCATCGAACTTTATTATGGCCATATATGGCACATTTCTCACAAGTGAGCATTTGATTAGTGGAGCTCTGCTTGCTGCTGGGTGTCTTTTTACATTCCGAATATAACCCGGTGCAGGATCTTCTGGGTGGATGCCCACTTGGACAGGATTGAGAGTTCGGACCTGAATGGGAAACTTCGCCAGGTCCTCGTCAGTCCGGTGTCCCATCCCTTCGCCCTCACACAGGTACCCTCCCAAACCTCCTCTGCTGTCAATCACTGGACTGACCCTTCCTCCTGGCTGCCTCCTCCACTCACCTGCTCTCTGTGACTCATCGGCTCACCGTGTGGTTCTCATTATCGTTTCTCCGTCCTCGAACTCATACTGAACCCATTTGACTTAACCATTTCTTCTATTCCTTTCCACTCTGACCCTCATTTTTCTTCCTTCCCTCTCTCTCCCTCCCCCTTTTCCCTTCCCTCTCTTCCTCTCGCCCCCCTGCTCCTTGTCTGTGTTTTTTCCTTCTTTTCTTCTCCCCCGTTTCCCCAGTTGAAGCCGCTGTCCTCCCCTCTAATTCCTTTCTTCCGACTCTCGCAGCAAGATCGTTGGATCTACTGGACGGACTGGCAGACTAAGTCCATCCAACGAGTGGACAAACACACTGGCCGAAACAAGGAAACTGTGCTGGCCAATGTGGAAGGTCTCATGGACATTATAGTGGTATCTCCTCACAGACAAACGGGTAAGGCGTTCCACCTCACAACACCATGTGACCCAAGTGACATCACTGTTGATCCCTGAGTTCACAGACGCCACTCCTGACTCTACGAAGTGAACTAGGAAAAGGACGCTTAGACTAAACTCCTCATTCAAAGACTGTAATTCTGATCATGCGGTGCCAGTTGTGAATGTTTGTTTCTCTTCTTCATCAGGTACAAACCTCTGTGGCATTAATAACGGAGGTTGCACGCACCTGTGCTTTGCAAAGACCAACAGTTTTGTGTGCGCCTGCCCAGATGAGCAGGATGGACGACCCTGCTCCACCAGTGAGTGCTCTGCTCGGACAGAAAGGCTAGCATCGGCTTTTGACAGAAGACTTTCAGTAGTAAAACATTAAGTTAGTGCAAAATGCCTCCAGATAAGGATCACATCCTCACGGCCATTTTGGTCGAAGCGCTGCTTAGAGAGGACCATGCTTATTTCAGCGGAACTTCAGCATTGATTTGAATTTGAAAAACCCAAATCTTCGAAATGACTTTGTGAGGCGAGCGTTAAAGATGGTGTGTCAGAAAATGGTTTATGTAAGAGGAGATATAACTTCAATTGACTTTAATTGGATGTCATATGTGAAAATAAAGTTTTAAATATAATTATAATTCCAAAAAGATGATATAACAAATAAACTTAAAGATTCACCGACAAGTTATACCACCCATGTTCCACCTTTCCTTCAAGTCTGATGGTAGTTTTGTACTTCTCTATGTTTTTGGCATAAATCCAGTGGCACCAGATACGCAACCTCCTCGTTAGAATCTTGAAGTCTTATTTTGGAGGAAAAACTTTCCTGCTTTCTTACATTATTCCCCGTCCTCAGTTTCAGGTTACGTCCCCACTGCTCCTCCCAAAGAGACCAGCAGCACCCCCGCTCACAACAAGATCCCCAAAGTCCCCACAATCGGTCCAGGCAGGGGACAGGCAGTGATCAAGTAAGCCTGTTCATTCTAAGAGCCTAACTCGGCGTGGCACGTTCTGCTGCCAGGCACCAGTTTCACATGGTTTCCACTAAGATGAGTTCACTACCAATTATTTTGGATTGTTCCAGATGACAGATGCGAGATCAGTTCCTGTTTTTCCTTAAGATGCTTGGAGGTGTTAAGCCCTTCATTAAAGTCTTTAAAAAGAGTTTTCAAACAGCAGTTTTCATATATTTTTTACATACTTTCATGGGAGAATTTTCTTATTGTTCTTACTTAACGAGATACACTGACTGAGAAGTAGGCTGCTGTTTATATATGTTGTAATTCTGGCCGTGTGATTCTGCAGCTGCACTGGCAGGAACCTGAACATGGAAGGCTGCGTGAACACAGTGGTGACAGCTCCTCACGGTCAGTCCACAATCAGCCGCTCACCTCATCATTTTGCACCCCACGTGCGCAGACTGGCATGGGGGGACATTTATCTCAACCATTTTAATAAAAGAGAGTACACTGTCCTGTGTAGAGACACTGCACACAGGGGTCTAAGACGGGATGTGTGCTGAATGTGTTCATTTTAACATGTTTTGAGGGCTAACTGGGCTCTACAAAAACTGTCAAGTCGACAGCTGGGATGGCTAGGGTGACCATATTTTGATTTTCAAAAAGGAGGACACTTTGCCCCGAGACGGATCCAGAAAGGCTTCTCAGATTTTAATGAATATAATTTATTATACCTCAATGGTACAAAAATAACTTCTGTAATAAACCACAATCTTTAACAACCAGTAACTAAATGATAGCCCTCCTTTAAGATACATAAATAAAATCAAATATGACCTCTTCTGTATTAGAAAATACAGCTTCAAAACACAGCAACAAAATACCTTTTAATACCCTCTTAATGTAAGAAATGATCGTCTGTCAACGATATAAACTCAACAAAGAAAAAAGATCTATACTAAGTATAGACCCTTTTTGTCCAGCTTGTCACGACCGGGACGGTTCGTGAGGAAATGTTGTTTGTGAAGCTGCACTTTCGTTTTGGCATTTTCTCCTGTGCAGTAACTGCATATCAGAGTGGAAGATAATGGGAAACTGTTCCAGGACTTCCTGTTTCTTTGCCCTGACACACAAACAGAACAATCACAATGAAACTGACAGGCTGGGAATGCCCCCTCAGTGCTGACTTCTGCTTTACAGAGGAGACTTTTCCTGTTGTCTCACAAAATACTTTTTCTATGTACGCATCCATCTTTATCTTGATATCGCTTGCAGGAGGAGGACTTGGTATCAGCTATGTGATTGGTGGAGTTCTGACCATCCTGGCGATTCTGAGCCTCATTGCAGCATTGATTATTTACAGGTAGGTTTCCTGCGTAATGCTCGGCTTTCTTACTCTCTTTGATCAAGCGTCAGCTACAAAATACTATTTTTCTTTTTTTGTTTGTTTATCTCGTTCAACAACAGGCACAAAAAATCAAAGTTCGCTGATCCGGGAGTGAGCAATCTGACCTACAGTAACCCCTCGTACCGCACATCAACGCAAGAAGTCAAGATCGAAACGTCACAGAAGCCTCCGATATACAACCAGCTTCGATATAAGAAAGAGGTAACACCCTGAAAAGGCACTGGGGAAGCTGCAGATGCCTCTGTTTGTTTGATGAATGGATTTAAGGTGAATCCATGAAGGTTTCACAGGCGTTGAGTGACCATGTGGACAAACGGCCGCACCCATTTTGGCCGGGTGGAGATAAATAACATGATGAAACGAGCCGGAGCTCATCTTCTCCCCCTCCTTTTTCTCTTCCTCACCGCAGCTCTCCCATCCCTACAACTCCCTCTCTCCCTTTATCTTTTGATCCACTTGACCACAGGAGAGGTAGTGGCACAGCATGTCGGAATTGTCTGGTTTTGATTTTCTTTTACTCTAGTCTCCCGTCATTACTTCTGTCTCTTCCAGCATGAAAGCTAATATCCAAACCTGACTAAACTCCTGTGTTCGGCAGCATGTCGGTCTTTGTGCTGCTCATCTTTTTGTGAGAACTTGACATTTAAATGAACGATAGACTGAGGTACATTCAGGTAAAGGTGCCATGTGTACATTGGACTTCATAGAAATATTCTCAGAATGATCATGAAATCTTGAAATAAGCTGGTCCCAAAACACCATCAGAGGGCTGGTGTGAATACTCTCCAGTTATTTCATTTGAAGTTCAGTTCTCTAAGAAAGAGGACCAGCTTTTCCGCCATGTGGCAGTCCAGCTGCCACTACACACATCGACCAATCAGAGGCTCAGTCTGAGAGGCAGAAAAACTAACTGAAGAGGCCTGAGCTGTGTTTGCGATTAAAGGTTTTCTGTTGTTTATGTTGTTCATGTGAGTCTGGTAAAAATGACGGCTTTTGCCTCAGCACAGTGGTTTTCTGGAAGTGTGTCACTAACAACAAAACACCAAAAAAAACACTGACAGAGTTTCATGGAACATATGTCAAATTTTGTTATCAAACTGTAAACTTTGGCTAACCTTTTCTGTGTTCCTGTCTAGGCTGGAGTGGAAGGAGATTACACCAAAGAGAAGATCCGGATTGTGGAGGGGGTGTGTCTCCTGTCCAACGACGAGCTTTACTGGGACGACCTAAAACAGATCAAGCCCTCCCGCGGAGGCCTGCACACCTGCATGCGCACGGACACCGTGTCCCTGCAGGCCAGCAGCGCTTCGCTGGACGACGGTGAGACGGAGCAGCTCCTCCAGGAGGAGGCGTCCGAATGCTCCTCCATCACCACCCTGACCCCCTCAGCCATCACCCCCCAGCGCCACGCCCAGCACAGCCTGCCCGACACCGGCTGGGCCTCCGTACGCAAGCCCTCCACCGAGAGCGAGGTGTGAGGGAGCCCCCCCCATACCTGACACACATCCAGACACCTGCATCTAGAGCCGCTACATAGACTCAGAGGTAAGTAGGGACAAACGCAGTAACTCGTAGTGCATACAGTTGGAACCTGGTCGGACTCTCATAAGCACGCAAAAACACAACTAAATCGGACACGGATCTTCTTCCACACACATGCATTACAGCCCTCCCCAGCCCATCAGCTGCGGCCTTCAGGCCAAGTGGGCAACGGAGGAGTGTTAGGGAGCAAAGGACTCCAGGAAGGAAGTGACTGGTGACACGGGCATTTTCTGGTTTTTGAGAGGACTCAGATGAGCGCGTCCCCGTGCACAACCTCGCCTTCATTTTTTGTGAACTCTTATTTGGAATTAAGCTACAACAACCTACTCCACAGATGGTGTAACTACAGTGCTGTCTCTAATGCTACTCACGTCTTTTATGGACTCTATTTATGGATTTAACTTTTTACTTGTTGAGTGGGTTTGCTGACTTTTGCTGGATGATGATGAGTCTGTCAGCAGGACCGGCTTTTATTTATGACAGTGCCAAAGGGTGGGGCTCCAGAGTCTCAATGCTTCTTTCTCCGCTTCCTCTTGCATAGAGATTTATGCCGATTCTGGGGATGTTTGCTGCATTCAACTTTACTGGATCGCCGTCACAGTGACATTTGCCGCCGTTTTCTCATTTTGCCACATCCGGACAAGAACTTACTGTAGCAGGTACTCTCAGATGGTCCATTTGGTTACTGCAAAAGCAACCTGAAAAGAGCCGGTCCTGATCGGTGGGTTTAGCTGTAGAAGCCTTTATGAAGAATCAAACGAACAATTCAGACTTTCTCTCTCTTAAGATGTATATTTATTATCTCAGAGGATTTAAGACATGACATTTTTCTTACTAGCTGTTCGGAACTAAACACAAAAAGGGTTCCTATTGTCAATCAATTATTAAATTGGTTAAAGTGTAACTATGCTAGCACTTATGTGAATGTAAAAATCTCCTCCTTTAACAATAATTATCCACTTTTGCTTTCCCTTAACTTGCCATTGAAAATGAAAAATACAAACCTTCGCAGAATATTACAGAAAAAGCTGCAGTGTCTCTCATCATTTTTATCAATAGAGTCGTACCATTGGCTTAGTTTAGTTTGGAACGTGATCAAACTGTTGGGTTTGTACTCGGGTGCAACTACGTAGTTTTAAGATATAAAAAAAACCTGGCACATGTAATCAAAATTATTAGCTTGGCCAAATGCTGCTAGAGGTTATTGAGGACATTTGCTCCTTTTATGATATTGGGTTTCAGCCCACTACATCTGTCTAAGAAACGGCTAACACTGCTCATATCTGACCTCATGGGTGTTTAGAAACACGTCCCTGATAACATACTGAGACATGATTTTTAATAGAGGATATTTTGCTTTGGCTTTAACTTTAGTGTACCATTTCTGCTGTTGACTTGTGGTACAAGGAAATACTATTGTCCTATACTGGCAAATATCTTTTAGACCTTATAGAACCGTGTCTTTTGAAGTATCTGCTACAAGCTCAGCAATGTGCTGATTTGCTGCTAGACGAAGCACTGAGGCCAATGAAAGAGGGTCTTGGCAGCTACAATTTCTCCAGTCTCTGATGGTTGGCTGACAGTAGGCCTGCAGAGCATCATAGTGAACCAGTATCAAGTTATCCCAGCTCACAGTCCCTCCAACTCTGGTGCAAAAATGCTAAAACTGTACAGATTTTATCATGCCATTCTAAGCAACCATTTCTGTTAATATTGCGTTAATCAAGTTGTATAGTCTTTTGTACAAAGGGATCTCATGAGCGTTTATAGACTTGTATTAATTGTACTCACTGGAGAAGAACAATTTTTGTTTTGTTTTGCTGGATTCTTTTAACCACTGTATTTCCAAGCCTTGTAAATGATAGGGAAGATGCCAGTTATTTGATAGTGCTTCTTTCTGTAATGAAATACTGGTCACATATAGCTGTTGTAAAGTTAACAAAAAGAGGTATTTATGTATTTTTTCTTTTTTTTTTTGTTTGGTTGTTACCTGATGTGTAAATATGAAAAATACTGTATATGTATTTCCATGGCAGTACTAACAAGATGTGTTGTGTGATATAGTGAATTATCCCTTTGCTATCTTTTAATATAAAATTGCATTTCAATGAAACTTTGCGTCACTCGTCTATACAATGATTGCCTTTATAAATGTGTTCCATAATAGTGATAATACAGAAATAAAGGGGAAGCTAATGTCTGTTGTTGCTGCTGATTACAAACAAAGAAAATTAAGATGTAGTCAAACATGTTGGATTTTGGTGAGGAGAAATGTAGAGAAGAGGTAAGGTGTGTGTGTGTGCGCCAGTGGGGGGGGGGGGGGAGTGGGAGTGGGTAGCGGTACCAAGCATAGTTAGCCATAAAACAATATTCTGGTCACTAAAGACATTTTTTATAAAAATCCCTTTTTTTCCAAACAAGATGATTTATCTGCATATGATAGGAATAGCATGAGGGTTACATACATAGATAGCTCTGTATAAAAATGATTAAAAATAGAAAAAATACAATCTGACAGTGTAATAACATGTTGCATTTAAAAAATATATATTTCTTAAAAATGATCAAATATTGCGCTGCTTAAAAGAATGACTATGGGCTAAGGACTATTTACAGTTCAGAGTTTTATTCATAAAAGTTATTTGTTAGGTCTCAAAATACCTTGATCTACATGGGTAATCTAACCTGTTACATGTTGCGTGTCAATCATGTCATTCCTGTTTTGGCGTTGGTTGTTAAAATTCACCAGCCAATCAGAGGGCAGTCCCTGTGAATGGGCGGGCTTAGTGGGCAGGTGGTGTGGGGAGAACTGAGCGCCAACATCAGAGTCAGAGACAGAGCGCAGAGACAGGAGGAAAGGCGGTGTGGGGAGCCAGTAAGTTTTACCTTGGACGTTCTGATATACTTTTGTGTCACCTGCACGAGGTGAATATGATGTATATGCCTGTATTTTGTTCTCGAGCTGGATTTGTAAGACGGTTAGCGACTTGCTAATTAGCGCTAGCATTCGGTGCTATTGGGCCTAAAGCAAGCTAATGCTAATTCAAAATGAGATAGTGTTCGATACTTTGGCTCATTTCTGACTTTATGTTAACGATATTGGCACTAGATAGAGAGAGAGACCAAAGTGTTTTGAGGGTCAGTCCTGTCCTGCTGAGCTTCACTTCTTCATTATGACTTTGCGCGCCATTTCCGAGGTTAGCTTCGAGTCTGTCATTGAGTTAGCTTGGATTCAAGGTCATTGCGGTTAGCTTAGATCGAAAGTCATATTGTGTGATGGCCCAAAGTTAACATGTTGAGTTGTGATTTGCTACTTCAATAGCACTGTTTTGAAGATCATTTCAAGAATCAGAGGAGATGGAGGGTTTTCGGACATACTGCTCCATGACACACAGAAGGGCCTCGCCTGTTGATCCATTCTTCATCTCTGATTGGCTGGAACATGGAAACCTTGAGTGTTTCAGTCTGATCCCATGGCAAGTACATGTAAGTTTTTCTGAGTACAGTATGCTGGTTCTAATGATACAGATGCTGGTGCTAATTGATGATGCTACTCATGCTGATAATGGTTCTAATCATACTAATGTTACTGTTGCAAATAATGATAAAACTGACGTTAATCATTCAGGGGATGCTACTGCTGGTGATGCTAATGATTCTTCTGGTTGTGATTATGCTGTTAATTCTAATGATGCTAGTGGTGCTAATGATACAAAGCTCTGACATGGCTTGTCCTGGTTATTTCTGGAATAGACTCGTGTTAGCTTGGATATCGGGTCGTTAATACAGTCAGGACTGCTCTAGGACATGCAGACAGGCCCCAGCTGTTGATCAAATGTCATCATCTCTGATTGGCTGGACCATGGAAACCTTGCGGTGTTAACAAGTGGTTCAGTCTGATCAGGTGGTAAGTACGTACTACTTTTTCAAAGTACAACATGATGGTCCTGATAAATAATGCTAGTTATGATGGTACTGTGGATTGCATGGACAGAAAGCTGAAGGCATCTGCTATGGGGAGTCATTAAGTTTTAGAGTGGACGTTCACTACTCCACGTCCTGACAAGCTATTACTTGACCTAAAAAAGGTGAATATGATGTATATGCCTGTATTTTGTACTGTGACTTCAGCATTTTAACAAAAATATGGATGTGTGAGATGGTCAGCGACTTGATCATTGGTGTTAGCATTTAGTACTATTAGGCTTGTATATTGTAGCTATAGCATTGTGATGTTTTTAAAGCTAAAGTGAGCTAATGCTAGTTCAACATGAAATGGTTTTCTATATTGATTCTCAATTTGATAAATATGCTTTAGGAAGGCGGGCACTGGAGAGAGATCCGGTTTGGTCTGTCTGTGTTCAGGTGTGTCCTGTCCTGCTGACATCACTTCCTCATTGAGACTTTGCTCCATGTTGGCTTGGATTCAAGGTCGTGGGACTCTGCTTCTACTAACCAAACCCATGGGTTTGTGAGTACAAACACACACCCCACCTGCTTTTAGTTGGTGCACATCTCTTATTGAAGCAGAAAAGTAAAACAGACAAAAACTGTATTTATTTTACAAATGACTCCAGGCCCAGTCTCATTGTATTAACCACTCCAGCTTTATTTTTTCTGTTAGAGATGGACAGATGGATTACTGTGGTCAATAACAACTAACCCTCCTTCTCTAGTCTCCCCTCCTCTGCTCTCCTCATTTCTTTTCAGAGTGTTGGGGGTCTCAGTGAGCCCCCGGCTGGCCTGTTCCCTTCTTCCTCTGGAGTAGCCTGGAAAGAAGGCACCGCTCTGACATGGCTGCTCCTGGTTAGTTCTGGGGGGGACTCTTCTTTTATTATTTTTTTATATTATTTATTTAATCAGGACAGTGCTCATTAATGAATAATCTTACACTTCAGTAGAGATTGTAAATGAGCCAGATTATAGCATATTTGTTAATTTACATCTGTCGTCCTGAGGCAGGAAGACAAAATAACACAAAATCACACAATACAATATCAGTCAAGACACACGTTCAGACAATGATATTACAACAATAGGATTAGTGAGTGCATGTCTGGGAACTTTTAAGAAACTGTTTAAGGTGCTTTTTAAACGTGCAGTAAGTGGGACATTCCCTGATGTTCGTTTTGAGGCTGTCCCAGAAGTGACCCCCTCTGACTGATAGAACGGTTTGTCCAGAGGTTGTTCTTCTGTGGGGGATCTCTGGGTCAAATACGTCTGCCAGACCTAATGTAGGTAGAAAGTGGAGGTGGGGCTAATCCATTCAGAACTTTGTAAATTAAACAAC